CATTGTAGCACTGCGGCGTACTTATTGCTTTGTGAAATGAGAGGATACCTACGCTCAGCCGTGGGACGCGTATAGGCAGTAATTTTACCTTTACTTTCTATCAGCACTCGCATTATTCATCAACTCGAGTAAATCGTCTTCTGATAGCCTTGAGGTTAAATCGACATGCCATGAGAGCGAAGCAACGTGAAATACCTAGTCTATTTATGTATAAGCGTCATTGGAGCGTTCTAATGGGCTTTGATAATGAGGATATTCAGGTGCGTAGACCCCCACCTCATCCTACCTCTCCACCTAAAGGCGAGGTGGGAAGCTTCGTCCTGACCGACGTCGGTTTTAATCATCAACAATCTAAAAGGATACTACTCTTAATCGATCGGAAGATTCATCTTGTTGTTATTTTTTTTTATTGAAACGAAACATACACGTTACGTGTGAATTTTTTAAGACCTTGTTTTTCTTTATTTTATAGAATAAGAGTGAGAAAGGCGCACACAGCCCACTTTTTTACGTGGTAGAGCCATGCTGCAGCTATATTAATAGTATAGCTGTAGCACGAATGAGTCGGCTCGACAGGGTAAGACCACGCTCTCACATAATACCAGCGTAAAATAGCAGCTTAACACTGCTGTTATTCCTATGGTGAATGTAGAGAAACGGAGACCCATTTTACTGGAAAAGAGGCATTCTATCTTAGTCCTCACGGCTGACAACGCATCTGCATTTTAATTCGAAACGAAGATAGATGTAGATGTCTATGAGCCACAGCAACCACTTACCATCAGGTGCACTGTGTGCTCGCTTGTCAACCTTATTCTATAAAAAAAAACTTGATGGAAAGTGGATGCTGTGGCCCATATATATTTACATCTATCCTCGATTAAGAATCAAAATGCAGATGCGTTGTCATTTCTGAGAACAAAGATGCTATGCCTCGTTTCTAGTAAAAATTGTCTCCGGTTCTCTATACTCTACATATTTAACACAGCAGCATTGAGCTGCTATTTTACGCTGGTATTCTATGAGAGCGTGGTCCTTCCCCGGTCGAGCCGACGTATTCGTTCTACAATCGTATTATAGCTGCAGCGGTAACGGTAGAGTCATTACCGTGTAAATAACATTGTGGTCCTTATTGTATATTTTATCACGAAAGGATGTTTATCATATTCTGTATATTTATAGGCTAGCTTACTGTAAATTCACCTTTTTTAAAACTAATTTTACAAATGTAACTTAGTTTATTTGGACTCTACAAAGAAAGCATAACGCAGCAAAGTTCTAGTCTAGACGAAACTGCATTAGATATATACAACGCGATGCATTGTTCAATAGAGAATTAATTTAATATTTAAGTTCGTCTTACTCTGAGAAATTTTTCAGTTTTATTCAAAAACCGTCCCGGTTACGACTACGAAGTATCTATTAGGCCCGCCACATACATACGGAATTCCGTTTCGGGATTGAGGTATATGGGACCACATGAGAAGCACCAGCTTTCAAACAAAAAAATATCTATCAAAATAACTCCTCCTTTTTTGAAGTTGTTTAAAAAGTAGCGTCTGGTTCATTTTCGACCACTTAGTTGGTTAAATAGCCATGCCTGGAAAAGTCATGTGTGTATGTTTATAGGTTGTTATTTGTGATTTAACGTCAGCTGTTTGAATGTTAAAAAAGAAAGAAAATAAAACTTAACCGGGAAAACAGAAATGAAATTTAAACTAGCTCTTTCTTTCGCAAAGTGATATAATATTCATTTTGTAATTCAATTTTTTTTAAATTTCTTTTTTGTATGTATGTTACGCTAGATTTTCGAAACTTTAAACTGATTTTGTGTAGTTTTTCTGTAGTGGCTAGTTTATTCTTTACATTGTATTTTCAATGAAAAATCTAAATTGAAAGGTAACTGAATTGATTATAAACTGCACGCACTTAAATATGAACTACTAGGTTTTGCCCGCCACTTCATCCGCGTAAATACTTTAAACCATATGTGATCCATCAACAATCGCACTCTCATAGTAAATTTTCCCACCTCGCTCGCAGTACGCCCGACCGCCCTGCGTGCACCGGACTGCGCAATTTTATTTCGACGTTACTTTTAAAACCTTTGAATAAATTACGTAGTTTAAAAGACAAAGTTTATCTACTTTGAAAATCAGAAGCGATTAAAGTATTTATTTTTAGTACAATCAATTTGTTACTGCAAAATGTGCATTTTGAATAAAGTATCAAATTTTATTGTATTTATGGTTCACTATTTTGGTAATAATGGCTTACACATAAAAGATAGATTCGCGTCGCGGAAGTTTTTGTAGAACTATTTAGGAGAAACAACTCCACCATGCATTATATTTGTGTAGCTCTTACAATTTTTGCATCGCACACGAAAATAACTCGCAGATGACAGATTTTTTCCGACTTACTTAACATTTATCTTTATATTTTGACTGATCTACATAATATCTTTATTAATTATAGTCTATGTGTTGTTCTGGTGTATGAGCTATATTATTGTAAAGTTTCATTAAAATACATTCAGTAGTTTTTGCGTGGAAGAGTAACAAACATCCATACATCCTCACAAACTTTCACGTTTATAATATTAGTAGAATTTTTGTTTGACCACAAGGAACAACTAGAGTTAGTATTATATCTGACGGAATATCACCAGAAGTATTTTAAAAACTACGACGTCATCAGCGATGACATCGTTCGAAAATCATTATTATGATTTCTAGATTCACTCATTACTGTTTTTCTAATAAAACTCACCACACTTCCTTGCTCTTAACTAGTTTTACTGATCAAAATTATTCACAATTTATAATTCACAAATTCAACTATGTCTGAACAGCACGACCGCTCGAACAAGAATGATCCTGCCCAAGCCCAAGCAAGCTATTCCTACTTCCTGCTCTTTGAGAATATTTGCCTTTTAAATTGATATAGCTATAACCTGCATTTAATAATTATTAATATTTTGAATTAAAGCATTTTAAATTATTTGTGGGTAACAATAAAAAAATAATTTTAAAATAAAAACAAATGTTATAAACAAGCAAGTTATCACGTTATTTGTGCAGTTGAAATATCGCTTATTAATTGTTAACACTATAATAATTGTTTAAGTAATGTGCTGATACGTCGCTTATACTGTGTTGCTGCGTCGATATATTTTTGAAACATTTATAATTAAGTAGTTACATTTTTAAAACCACTGACCAATGTAGGCACTGGTCTGTGGCAGGCTAGACTGAGGCGGTGTAAGAATATCGACTACCCCATATCGTCCCGTGGTTGTCGTAATAGGCGACAGAGGGAAACAAACCAGGTGTTGGGCAGCAGCGTCTTCCTGATAAAGTGATAACAAGCAAGAATTTAAAAACAACTGCCGTTGCCAATCCGCGTGTCAAGCGTGGCATCTATGGCAAAATCCCCTCTATGAGATAATCTACGGAAGAGGCCTATGTTCAGCATTGGACTTTTATATAATGGACGAAATCTACACTTCTACACTTCTACACTACTATACTATATACTATATACTATTATAAAGAGGAAAGATTTGTTTGTTCGCTTGTTTGTTTGAATTGAATAGGCTCCGAAACTACTGGACCGATTTGAAAAATTCTTTCACCATTAGAATCCTACATCATCCCTGATGAACATAGGCTATGTAATATTTTCAAAAAAGTTAGGGATCCGTATGAAAACTTCGTTAATCTAACCCAAGGTGTGAAAAAAATACCAAAAAGAATCCTTATATCGCGTACGCTTCGGAAACTATTGATAATAGAGCAAAGTAATGTACTTCACTTTTATAGAGGATATTAATCTCTACAAAAAAGTCTGCGATACCATATGTTTAACTATTACAGTTATGTCACAATAACTACTTTTTCATGTTAAAATGTGAAATAGTAACGCCGGTACAAATACTACTAATACGAGTACGTACTGATACGAATAATGTGGCCTAGACATTATTCGTATCAGTACCTTTATCATGTATAACCACCAATTACGTTAACCATGTAATTTTAGTAACATATTTCACTTTTTAAATCTTTGTTAATTCAGAAATCGTCCGTCGTGATGTCTCTCTCGAAGTTCGCATGTCGCAAGGCGCAGATGCGTGATATACGCGGGTGAAACCGCGGGGCACAGCTAGTTATAAATATTTGGCAAAACATTTTATTTTTACTTGGCGTTTCTTCTGGGTATCTCTGAGGTACCATTTACTTGCTGGTCTGACTGGGTCGGTGCCAACTTCGTCAACCACGAAACAGTGCTTGCACTTCTGTGTTACGGTCTAAAGGGCTTATACTTGTATAGGTACAGACAGTGAGATATTTCACCTTAGTCCTCAGAGGTGACAATGCGTCTGTAGCCCTCGTTGTTTGAGGTTGGCGGCAGCTGTCAATGGATTACAGTAGCGACTCAGGTGGATTGTGGGTTTGTTAGTGACTTCTGTTTTGTTTAAACATACTTTTCTTAGTATTAGAAAGTATTAGTTATAAAAGAATATATGTATAATGACTGCCTTGTTGGTCTAACGGTTGTAGTAGTGCAATACTGGTCATGAGGTCACGGGTTCGAATCCCGGGTCGGGCCAAAAAAGTCACTTATTGAGTTTTTCCATTAAGAAATTCTCAGTAGCAGCCCAGAGTCAGGAACTTGGCGGTGTCTCACCGCCGTGCCTCGGAAAGCACGTAAAGCCATTGGTCCTGCGCCTGATCTCTTTCCGGTCGTGTCGGTTTATCGTCCCATCCGACTATGGGAGTGAGGGAATAGAGAGTGCACCTGTGCTTGCGTATACACTTGGGCACTATAATCCTGTCCTACGCCGATGGCTTGTCTCCGTTGAGGCTGGCCGCCGTAACCGAAATTCGGTCTCGAGGACATTATTATTAATTATAATATGCTATCAGACAGTTGTTTATTTATCTAATCTCTTTTTATTTATATGACACGGCATTGCATAAAGTGTTTGTCCGCAGGCCGCTGCCTTCCTGTGCTCTGCTTTCACTTATTCCACGTGTACGGGCTGATATCACATTTCAAACTGGACGCGGTGAAGGTCTGGAAGCTGTTCAGCCTCATCGAGGAGGGGTATCATAGTACGAACCCTTATCACAACTCAGTACACGCGGCCGACGTCACACAAGCCATGCACTGTTTCCTGCAGCAAAAACGGGTATGTACCAAGTCTCTTTTATTTGCTAAATTTAATAATGCTTGAGCTGTTCAAATAAAAGTGCGGAGTATAGCAAAGCTAAATAAGCTACTACTTTTATTCAGTATCATTTTACATACATAAAAATCACGTGTGTAATCCCCAAGACGTAAGCACAGACCAGCGTGCTACTCGGACTACAGCCGAAATATATATAGATGTAAAATTGTGAAAGAATTGATAAAGTGGTTAGACAAATCATCTACACAATCATAAACCCAATATCCTATTAGTCGCCTTTAACTACATGCTAGGCAAGTAACACAGTTGGCATATTATCTTATGTTATAAGACCCACAGAACTACAACTAACACAGACTTATAAATCCCAGACCAACATTGACTAAGAAACTCATCATTATGAACTGACTACAGCTTCATCATCTGAAATGTCAGACCCCTTAGATACTCCTACAATGTCGGAAATAGAAATAAACCTTGTAATTTCTATTTCGGATAAGGTTAGGTGACGGTTGCTCTAGTATTTCAAAGTCAGCAGTTTCATTGCATTTCAGTGCAGGACATGTGAGCCGGGCCGTTGAAACAAAGCAAACTTCTAGCTTGCTTCGCCATTGCTCGCGAATTTTGTTGCCCATTGTAAATTTTTTTTTGTAAAGTTGCCGTTATAGTAATTTTATGATTAAGGTATTGAACCATAACTACCCCTTGGCAATTCAGTATAAAAAATATATAAATGATAATTTGATTTGATACATTTCTCTTTCGTATTCTAATTTTCAAATTAAAATAGACTGTCAGAGGCCGTAATATTAAATTAATTTATTACGATAAATTTTCTTTCCATTGTGGCAATTCGAAATAATTTTTTTCACAAGTTAATTAATTTAATACCGGTGTTTTTTCTATATCATGGAACGTCGACATTTAACAACACAAAAGATGTTTAGAGCAATAGGCATGCTGGAAGCGGGACTATGAAGTCATTGGCACCAGCCGAAGGAGTCTCCCTACCAAGACAAACACACTGGTGAAACGACTCAGCGGTGCGTTGAAAATTATTGGATTACCTTACTGCTGATTAAGACCGATTTTTATTACAAATTACGGAAGAAGATAAACTTACGTTACGACCATGCAATTGTTTTTAAAGTTGCAGTCAGGATACCAGCTCCTGACGAGTGATTAAACTGAGGAGGAGACTGCATGAAGTCAACATTCAGTAGACCACTTCGGATTCTAGCGCTACAAAGAGGCGATTGCGGGAAAAGATTTCTATAGGCAAACGAACATTTGCCTGGGAACGATTGTAAATCGTCTAGAGTGCAAATACCAGATTTATTTTGGTTCGGCTGCTATCAAGTGTTTGGCGAACAACTGAACGTGAGAGCCGCCTGCAAAATCCCCACGTAGGTAGAACAATCATGATATGAGGGGAAATATTCTTTAGCTGTAGATTCGTTTGGGTACGCGGCAATTTAACTGCTGTAAAATACCGTGATGATTCGCGTAGCCCAGTAGATCGACCAACCCGATTGCAGATATGTTTATGCTAAAACATTTTATGCTGAAGCGTAATAATGTCTGCGCATATACGGCTTGTCTGGTATATCAGTGGTTGCAGCAACATAATGTAGCAACCCTGGACTGTGATGACTGTGTGAACCCTGTGCAGTCATCGGATTTAAAACCGTTTGAGCACGTGTGGGATATGCTTCAATGAAAGACTGCGGAATCCCAAAAATTAAAATGACAGCTAAAGTGCCGATTCATCTCACGCAATAAGGCGATTAGTTAGAAATTCTATTTATGTACCGGTGTGTAGTATGTGCAGCTAGTTATTCAGTTAATTTATGAAGCGAAAATAATTTGCACGCCCAAACGACTTTGTGTGTGAATAGGGTAGATTCAAATTTTAAAGTAGATTTTTATTTAATACCGTGCTTATAACACCTAAGGCAAAAGCTCAGCTACTTATGTAGTTGAGCGTTTGCCTCCAATTGAGCTCCAATTAATTAATAACCTACCCTCTAATTACGTAATAACATTAGACGAGAAAATATTAAGACAAAATTAAAATCTTACTTCCTAATTAACACAGATCTTGACACTCAGAGATGAACTTACCAACCATCTAGTTAATTAATTGCCTAAGTTGTCAAAATTATTAATTTAGCCCTTTTTAAAACTACTTGCAACATAATGTAATATCACGTATATTTTATTTTTCTTAATCAAACCCTCATGGAAAGATCGTTGTAGATTATAAGCATTATTTACAAACCTTTGTCGTCTATTTTACTTATAATACTTGTTATGCTTGTGTATTGAACTTGTAAATGATAAATAAATTTTAAACAATTTAATGCGCATATTGCACGCCCCAAGTGATAACAAAATATGGAATTTTTATACCGTATTCGACATGTAATTTTTTATGAAAATTAGGGATGGGATTACTGTCTACTTGATGAAGTTGTGTTGATATAAGTTTAGTGCTTTGTCACCTTTGAGGACTAATATGGAATATTTCACAAAGTGGATTTATGGTCTTTGTTTTAACAGACTTATTACAATAATAAAAAAATGATCATACAATCCTGGCGGTGCCAAAAATACTGGTTGCGATCTACATCTGCGAATACAGAAGATATCATCATTTTGTGATATTTTAGTAATATTTCATCGATTCCTTGTTATCTCAAGGCTCTAACACTGCAGGTGAATCGACGTTATCTTGTAAGAGAATATTATAAACACGTTACACACGTTAAGTATGTAGGTACATATCATGCAAATGCATTAATAATTTAATATATTTCAATAGCATTACTTATATGTCGTCCGTAACTATAAAACTGCCGTTTTCTGTACTGTTAGAGCACGAAGTATCAATGTTACTTTGATCCGGGAATTTTTAGTCCGATACTGATACGGAAACGGAAGTGTCACTACACGTCGCTTAATGAAGTCTCCGCGTACTGGGGAAACGCAGCGGACATTTCCTTCCTCTAAAAATTCTCTCAAAAAGCCTTTCTTATCCTGTGTGACCCGCATATATTCTGTAAATTTAGTTAACTTTAACTTCATAGTATTCTAACTCTTATATTATTCCAACAGGAATTAAGAATTTAATAATAGATCGCGTACAAAAATACCGGCCGTCTCAAATCTTTATTATCCTCATCAATTAATCTCTACCTTAATTACTTTTTTTTTATAGGATAAGTGTGACAAACGAGGACACAGTCCACCTGATGGTAAGTGGTTGCTGTGACCCATAGACATCTACATCTATCCTCGATAACGAATCAAAATGCAGATGCGTTGTAGCCCGTGAGGACTAAGATGGAATGCCTCGTTTCCAGTAAAAGGGGTCTCCGGTTCTCTACACTCACCATACGAAACACAGCAGCGTTAAGCTGCTATTTTATGTTGGTATTCTGTGAGAGCGTGTCCCTTCCCGGGTCGAGGCGACCCATTCGTGCTACAACTATACTAGTAAGTGCAGCATGGCTCCATCACGTAAAAAACGTTACATACTTACATTACGAAAATACCTTCTATATAAGAATATATTCTATCTTCACGCGCTACTTGCTCTAACGTGGGGCAATTATTCTCGAGTGCAGTGTCAAATACAGGAATCCTGGGGGAGATGCTTCCGCAAATAGCGTGAACAAGCTTGCACCTTGAAAAGAAATATGTATAAGTAAAGCAATTCGCTTCGTAAAATTTGTTACGTCAAACAAGTTACAAAATGTCGGAAAGTTATTCTGACTAAATAATATTATAAAAACTGTATATAATGATAGATAGATATTATTATAGGTTCCATTAATGTAACAGCAGCTACATGAGTAATAATAACTATAATATAATATAGTATATGTTTATATAGCATTACTGGCCGGTCATATAGCTCAAACGAACCGAAACCGATGGGGAAAAAAGGTTCTCGAGTGGCAGCCTCGTACCGGTAGGCGAAGTGTAGGGTGTCCCGCCACTAGATGGAGTGAAGACCTGGTAATACATGCAAGAAGTCGATGGAGGCAGGTGGCTCAGGATCGTTGTTGTCGTCGTCGCATTCCTTGGGTAAGGCCTATCTTCAGCAGTGAACTTCTGAAGGATTGTAATGATAATGATGATGATGTTTATATATATTTATAAGTATTTATGTATCCCAACCAGATGCAAAAACAATAGAAATATTCCATAATAATAATAATAAAATCGTTTATTTTCTCTTACTCGTACAAATAGAATTACATAAAATATGTTTAAAATAGTAGTAAACGTACCGACCCTGCCAACTATCGGCCAATTTCAATTACCTCCATACTCTGCAAGATTATGGAGCGTATATTGAACGCCCACCTCATGGCATACCTCGAGCAAAACGATCTCCTCAGTGATCGCCAGTACGGGTTTCGTCGAAATCGATCAACTGGGGACCTTCTAGCGTATAACACTCACATATGGGACGAAGCCCTCGAGAACAGTGGTAAAGCACTTGCTGTGTCCCTCGAGGTTTCGAAGGCTTTTGACAGGGTTTGGCACGCTAGTCTATTGGGCAAGCTTTCAGCGTACGGCTTATCCCCTGGCCTAATTGTCTGGGTGAAGGACTTTCTGAGTGAACGGTCTCTCCGGGTCGTCGTTGATGGCTGCTCATCCGACACTGTGGCGACTAACGCCAGGGTTCCTCAGGGGTCCGTTCTCTCCGCAACTCTCTCCCTGCTGCATATAAATGATCTGCTCATTCCCGGTGTCTATGGGTATGCAGACGACAGCACAGTTGTGGAGAGCTACCAACCAAGCGCCCGGGCCAGTCGGGATCAAATCCAGTCAGAAAGAGAGGCTATGGTTGAGCGTGTGAGTCTTACACTACAGGCAGTCTCCGAATGGGGCGATGCCAATCTCGTGAGATTTAACGCCTCCAAAACACAAGCGTGTCTTTTTACCGCTAAAAGGAGCCCGCTCACCTTGGCTCCTACTTTCCGGAA